ATCTTTATTTTATTATTAATACTTCCTTTGTAAATATACCTACTCTTCAGAAATTGGAGGCAATAAAGATTTAAAACTCACTCACTCACTCACTCACTCACTCACTCACTCACTCACTCACTCACTCACTCACTGAGATTGAGATTGAGAGAAACACTATGTTTTCCGTGACAAAGCGGGGAGGGGACATTAACGACAGACGAATGTCCATGCCACAGAGGGGCCGACGAAACAATTTTAAGAACTATAAACCCAGAAAGAGCATTTCCAGCCATTTCCCAGAGTAATTCTGTTTAGAATGATAATGCGAGTCACTAGTACCTGATGATACGCACATAAGTTTCCGAAAACGCATGTCTAATGTAAAGGAAATAGTAGAGATTCATATAGAATAAAATTATTTGGTGGAGGTGAGGGTTCGGCCCATTCCCCACTTCCACTGTCCAGATATTAAGAGCTGGGGAATCGGCCAAATATGTCACTGTTATGAAGAGGTATATAGAGCTCAGCGGAAACATATATAAATTATAGCACCTGACCAATGAGAATTCGCGTCACGATTCGAGACGCAGATATTCAAAATTGTATGTCATCAGTGCAGGCTCTCATTTCACCTTAATATACAGTAATATCAACACTCGTGGAAATTGGAAAAACTCGAAATTGTGTGAAAACAGTTAAGGAGCCTCGTTTCTCACGTTACGACTTTAGATTAAATACTCATTTGAGGCTGCGTGCAGGCTATACAGATTGATTTTACAATTCCAATAGTATTAATTAAACTATAACATTTTTTTATTAATTAAACTATAAGAGATCTTTAAGAACCAGCCTAATTTGTGTCTACGTAAAAACGTCTAAAAACACTTCGACGTTTCGTGCGAAGACCCTGACGAACACCTTTATCTCAAAGCATATACCCAAATCACATTAGCTCAAAAAATTGTCACGTGTTATTTATTTCTTACCTGTTTCATTGACTGCAGCGGTGTTGGTTGTGAGCAATGCGGTGGTTGACGTAGGGCATCCGAGTAACTTCTTTGTGGGTTTTCAGTTGGGTCATCTTGACCATGACTAGCTCCGTGCATTATCTGGCCGCATTCTCCATGCCCTGCCACCTGCCCAGAGTCAACAAGGCAACGTTTTCCTTGCCCTAACTTTGTTTGACCAGAATTACCTTGCCCTTGATTTTGCTCTCTCCTTATCTGGTCGTTTCCTTCACGTCCAGTATCAGCATTTACACGACATATCCCTTGATTGTCGGGCTTGGTTCGGCTATTTTCTCTCTGTTTTGCCCTACCTGGGTCACTATCTTCTTGCCTATTTGCTGCAACATCATTCTGAGTGCCAGAGTCACTATTGTCTTGCTCAGTTGTTGTGACATCTTCAGAAGATGTGTTCGCTGCTGATGCGTCATCACCTGAATCTTCTTCCCCGTCATCCTGGAGAGGATGGTTTGGGGATTCAGCCATTCAACCTAAAATGGAAAAAAAGTTTTAACGACAAAAGGTTAGCAAAAGGTTAGCCTTTTTTGTATCGATCACTTCTTGCACCCTAAAATTCGAACTAAAATTTGTACCCATAATTTTACTACGCACAACAACGCTATACAGTAGTAGTAGGCTAATCGCACATACTGTAATGACAAATAAAGCAAATGCTTTTAAACATTTAAACGTTTTACAGGAAATATTTAAACATTTTACAGGAAATATTTAGCGACAAATTTCATCAGATTCATAAAGGGTGATAACATTCGATCATCCATGCCGAGTCGAAGAGATGGGGATTTTCGGATCCCAGCCCGGCATCAGCTGCATCTACTGGAAGATCTAGATCTTCTACGAGTTATGACAATGCATGAACGGAAGACAAAAGGAAGGACGTATTAACTAAAAGCAGGTGTGACCCTAAGGCAACAAATCAATGATTTAAATGGACAATAAAAGGACTTAAAATCGCTAACTTAATATAAATAGCCTTCTGAAGCACATAGACTATGAGCTTCGAGTAATTATGGCTGATAAACCCACACAAATTCTAGCAATTAAAGAAACTAAATTGATCATTCAATATCTGATCAAGAAATAAGTATTTGCGAGTACTGATAATATAATTAGGAAAGATCGTAATAGAAACGGTGGCGGTGTGTTAATGTACGTACACGAATCCATAGCATTCAATGAACGCAATGACCTATGTCCAAACTCACCGGAAATAATTTGCGCTGGAATTAAAAAGCCACATAATAAGTCATTTCTTTTCTTTTTATATTAACTTTACAATCAATAACATATATTAACAAATGATTGAAGGAAAAGGACAACAGATCTTAAATAAGATCCAATTAAGTCCCACCAAAACTATTTCTACTAACATGCATGCATAACATTTACATGTTTGTTAATCTGACTTAACACTTTATCTGGCTAGAACCGTCTTTTTGTCTTAACAGTGTATAAATTATTATTTTTTTAGTTTTTTATACTAATTTTTACAGATTACACGTTTACGAACAAGTAATGTCAAAGGAGCGACACTCTGTACACAAAGATTTCCAAGTTCTTGTGAGCTCATGGTACAGACCACCTAACTCTGATATTAATATTTTTAATGATTATGAGTCTTTTCTTCAAAATTGTGAAACAATTGTGAGCTTTATGTTATGGGAGATTTTAAGGTAATTCCGCAGTTTTGCATTGCGCACTTTTACTGCGCACATCTTATAACTTCATCCATTATACGTACCGTTTTAAAAAAATCATTTTATGACAATTTTATGTTACTTCAAAACATCTTTGGTTACATTCGTGCAAAGAATTACGTTAAAATCAATGTTTTCAAAAAAGGCATACAAAAGTGTAGGCTAGGGTTTCTGTGTCTGTAGTATATTTTTTTACTTGTATTTCACGTTTTAATGCCACAATTCCCTAAAAAGATCGGTGACCCCCGTTTTTTAACTGATAATTTATTTCTTTAATGCATTTTACATTTCATATCCGAAATTAAAAGAAAAATTATTTCTGGATCTTAAAAAAAAATCCTTTATCAATGCATTTTCTCAAAGAGAGATATTTTAAAAATGTGGAAAAGACATCTGTGGATTAGAATTGTACACGTTAGTAGTTTTATTTTGCTCAAAACACGATATTTTTCAAAAATAATTACACGATAGGTTTACTAAAGCAAAATCCGCGCTAAAAACGTCAATAAATATCGGGCTGTTGTAATTTTGCCGTTACTCGTAATGAGCGTCAAGATGGCGGCATATTGGGGTAAAGATGGTATGTTGTGATTGTCATATCTTCTTAAGGAGTTCGGTGACCCCGACTTTATTGTGTGATTTTACTTTAAGTATATCATAAACTCCATGCCTGGGAAGTTTCAGCACATTCTCATTTCGGGAACAATTACTGCGGAATTACCTTAAGGCCATGTTACACGGTGCAATTTTTCTTGCAACTTGCAATGCAATTGTTGTGGTTGTTTAGAGGTAAAACGAAAAACTATATTACGCTCTATCTATATGGTATTGCATGAGCACTGTTTGTGTTTCGTAAACCAAAAACTTAAGATTTCTCTCTATTTACTCGCTTATTTGAATCTTGTTACCGCGTTTTAGTAATTAGTAAATATATATAGTGTATATATAGTCTACTTCAGTTGTAAGTAGATTTAAATGCTCTGAAGGTGTTGTGATGTGTGCAACGAAACATCAGCAAATATATTTTACTCACCATTGTCAAGATTTTGTAGCTTGATGCCCACAATTCTTCTGTGTTGCAGGATAAAAGTCAAAGAGAGAAAGATGCATTAAAGAAGGCCGCGAGGTTTGTATTCCACCTTAGTTAGGTCTGGAAACTCGACTAAAGTTGTTGCATGTTCTATCTTTTTGTTCATGGTTATGTTTATGCAATCACGTTGCCAGTCGTTGTGGGTTATTCTTTACAAACAACCAAAATTTAAATCATCCATCATCCTATAATAAATCTCCAGTGAGTCATGTAGTTTCCTTATAAACAACCACGATTTAAATCATCCATCATGCTAATCCAGTGGCTTCGATGGCGTAGTCATCAGAGTAAGCGTCTTTCACCTCTGAGATCGTGGGTTTGATTCTCGCTACGGACTCATGTGAAAAGAGTCAGTCAACGCTCTGCCGAATGTCGTGGGTTTTCTCCGGGCGCTCCGGTTTCCTTCCACAGGGAAAGTTGACAGGGTGGGTTAGAACAAATGCAGTTAAGAAAGTAATATCACAATTGTTGTAAAGATAACATAGTCTAGGCTAAGTAAGTAATTATAGGTAAACGTATATAGGTAAGTAATTATATGTAAAGCGCATTTGATCATATTCACATGTAAATTTTTGCTATATAGAAATGCTATAATCGTATAGTCTCCTAATCCATAAGCTTGATTATTTAAATTGTAGTTGTTTATATGAGAAAACTGCATGACCTATACAAAAACTTTAATGCTTGGTAGTAATTTTGTATTAGGCTAGGGATAAGACTAGGCATAGGATGAGTCGACAAGGGTGATGATTAGAGCAAGAGAGTTATGGTAACAATTAGGGTTAGTGTTGGAGCAAAGGCCCTTCATCGTTACATTAGTGGCGTATTATGGAAAAACGCTTTTGTTGGTGGGGTTGCAACTACCTGAAGAATATGAGGAGATTGAATTTCGACGTTTTGAGCGAAGGCCCTTTGTCTGAGTTACTAGTTGTTGTATTTGTTGTAGTTTTTTTGTACATTTGTTTTAATATATTTTGTAATGTGATTTACATTTTTTGTTTATACTTTGTTTTGACTGAATCCATCTAATTGGTTTATTTTTGTCACGTGATGCTTTTGTATTCTTAGTATAAAAGTTCATGTAATTCTCTCTATCCCCCACTAGCACAGAGGAAAGATATATATCTTTATATATATATATATTCTCTGTGCCGCTAATAACTCCAGACGAAGGGTTTCGCCCGAAACGTCGAAATTTTCCTTATATATTTTTCAGGTACTTGCATCCCTAACAACGAAAGCTTGTTCATTTGATTGCCACTACCTACACTGACAAAGACAGTTCAAGATTATCGAAATAAGCCACTACTGAGCTGCTTATTTTGGATTTGAAATAACGCATCAAATATCTCTGTACACTTTTTAGATTACAAAAAGACCGTGCTGCGGACATTGAAAAGAACGTTGATTCTCTAAAACAGAGATTGGTAACTGTATAACTATAAGCTTTTTAAATCTTCTTCCTTGAGATTCAGTACTGAGATATAAACACTTTTGGTTTGTTGTTACGTCAGGAGAAAACCTTAATTAAACTAACTTTATACATACTGCATAGACCGCTATGAGTTCATTCTTGATATACAACTGTGTTTCTAGGATCAGGAATTGACGGAGGCTAAACTCAATGAAGATGTCTGGAAAGATAAAGAGATAAAGTTAAAAAAAGAGAAGACATCTTATGAAGCAAGGATTAACAAACTGAAGAGGTACACAAAGAGAACTTGTTCATTTCTTTTTCTATGGAAATATTATTTGTATTATTCAATGAATATCGTTATGCAAAGTCAAAACTCATAATGTCAAAACATGATAGTTTGCCTGGCAGTATTTTTTTCTGTTTTATTTAGTCGTGTCGAGGAGTTGGAGCAGATAATTGAACACACTGAAAACACTGCTAAGGTATTTGACTGTGCAGAAATCACAGGGGAAAAATTTTTATTAATGATTCTTGAATGTAAAAACTGAACTTTTACCGTTTATCGGTTATAATAGGTTTCTCATATGGTAAATTAGTAAAACCCATGATGTTTAACCTATACCAGGATTGTATATTTTCATACAAACTATAAGTAGCTGACATTAATATTTTCTTTGTTAAACAGACGAACAAGGAAGCTCTTAACACGAAACTACAAACTCGTATCCAAGAAATAAATTCACTTCGCGCTGAAAACGAGAGATTAAAAGTAAGTCCATCAAATTGGCATTCTATTGTCGTGATCAGAGGTACATAATTTATTGATTTTTTTATTAAGATCGAAGTAGAAGGTTTTGAGGAAAGATTAAAAGCCGAAGAGGAACGACACTTTGCTAAGGTATGCATACGTCTTTTCTGATCACGTGAATCTTGTGGAGTATGCTACAATTTTGAGATGGGTTTTCACCACCAAATAATCATTATGCAGATTCCAGGTTTGACTTTACTGGGGGAGGGGGTACCTAGCCTTGGCAAATGGAGGAGCAAAGGGGTACCAATGTTTTTGTCAAAGCCATCTTTTATTTAAAATAGCAAAACAAAAATACAATAGTGTGAAAATGAGATAGTCATCAACCCAACACTCTTAACTCCGTGGTCAGGTAAGTACTTGTACAGCGCGCTAGCCCATCTACCATTCGTCTGTTGAGAGATAAGTATTTTTATTTACTATGAACTAGATAAACTGTAGTAATGAGGAGATAGACCAGTTCAAGGGAAAGATAGAAGACTATGAGAAAGCATTAGACGAGAATAGATCAAAGGTTTGTAGTGCTTGGAAAATATCCCAGCTGTGTGTTGAGTGTTTGTTATTGAACCCATATATTAGATTCGAAATGGTACATTAGCTTTACTATTCATGAGTATAAGCAATAACTTAACTACCTCTTTACTTGATAGCTCTATCAGTTATGTCAAACCTGTTCTCCCTAGAGGTTCAGTAATGCTCATCATTAATTGCATGATCCTGTGAGTTTAGGGGAATCTAAACTGAACTAACTTTATTCATATATGTATGCTTGATGCTTCTATCAATTCTAGACTATTCTCCTTAGAGATCCAGTAAGTCTACAGAACCAAGTTTCATATATACTGGATAGATATTTTAGTTCTAATTAGCTGCTCTCGCTAAAGGCCCAGTAAGGATCGTCCCTTGCTGGTTAAGTTTCACTATTGCAAGAGGAAACTAAAATTTTAATTAGACAACTGTCTATACAGCGTTTGCACTCATTCCCCAGGGACCAACTCAACAAAAGCCATGGCCGCCATGTTGGTGTTCCAGACAAAAGAGTCTAATTAAAATTCTTTTGAATTGGAACACCAACATGGCGGCTGTGACGTCATGTACAAATGCACAGTCGTGCAGTTACAACACCCCACGACTCGTTTGAATTCAAATTAGTAAGTTAGAATAATATGATATGCTTGTTAATGACCAGACTAGATGTTTACAAGAGGAAGCACAGACACTCCAGGATAAGGTCGTACAATTAGAAAATGAATTGAGTCGAAATAAAATTGAGGTAAGATAGAAAACCTCACATTGAAATTATGTCAATATTTTCTGATTGTCATTTTGGTGGCTGTAGAATTGAATGAGAGAGGATTTTATTTTTGTATGCCATAGGAAAGTCACAGCCAGTCAAGAATAGCTGAGTTAATGTGCAGTATTAATCATTATGAAAATATGTTATCGAATGCAAATTTCAAGGTATAGATTAGTGTTTGTAGTTAGATATAGATTGCTTAGTGTAGTGTAGTATCGTTTTAATCACAGGTTGTGGTTTTACGTTGTATGCATTGGTTATGGTATGGTATGGTATGGTATGGTACGGTAAGGAATAGCATGGTATGGTATGGTATGGTATGGTAAGGCATGATATGGTATAGCATGGTATGGTAGGGTGTGGTATAATATGGCGTGGTTTGGTATAATATGGTATGGTAGGGTGTAGTATTATGATATGAGATGGTGTGTTCTGTGTTGGTGGAATATGATTTGGGGTGCTATGGTATTGTATGTTGCGGTATGGTATGTTATGCCCAACTTTGTTTCTAGATAGTCAGTAGTATATTAAGATAGTTTTCAGTGTGGTATAGTGAAATATCGTATGAAGTGCTATGGTTTGGTGTATGACATGTTATATGGTATAGCATGGGAGAATTGTAGTGTATGTACAGTATTGGTGCATGGGATGTAGCTAGATTTCACTGAATGCAAGTACAATGTTAGTACGAAATCCATTGCATTCCTAGAATGAACTAGCTTGTGAGGAGATAGCTCAGTTGAAGGAAACAGTTACTCAATATGAAAGTCAGTTAGCAGAATACAAAGTTAAGGTAAATAACGATTAGTGAATCGAGTGTCTCCTAGGCCAGAAAGATTGTCATTGAACCATTACTAAACCTCTCACGCATGCATATATCTTTAAAAATACTACACATGATTTAAAGTTTGTTCGTTCACTGCAACCAGGTATAGCAATCATGTTTCGCTCCAGGTTCTTAGCTAGGATTTTCGATCTTGGGAGTGTTTCTAAATGGCCAAGGTGTGCACATGTCAATTACCTTGAATAGCAAAATCACGGTTCTAGTTATGGCTAACCAAGAACAGACAATGCCTGTGCATGGTTGTTCTATGCTTTGGAACCAAATACAAGACGAGCATACGCTCATATTGTGCACTGACATTAAAATATTAAGTTATTTCAGCAACTCTTGGGGGTATTTTAAAACCATTGGGCATTGTACAGTAACACCATATCCATCAAAACATTAAAACATCACGGATCAGTTTTGCCAATTTCAACAACTACAGTAGATTTTACAAACTTTCTTATGACATAAATATAGGAAGAAATTATGTCTGTTGTAAGCAGTAACACCTCATTTTTTAAACCTACACGGCCTTATATAAATAATGAAGCCGCGTTTATTTTACAGTATCTAGCCGTGTTTTTCCATTTTTGGCCGTGATAACACGGCCAACACGGCCCTCTAGCTAAGACCCTGTTTCGCTCGCTACTCTGGTTTAATCATGCTTTGAATAAGGATGACGGTGCCTATTTGCCAGAGGAACATATGCATCTCATTGGCAGCTGATGTCATCCCTTGGGTATTTAAGAAGCCACGATTGCAATTTTAGATCACCCCTGATGAAGACACTAGACTGGAGTGTCGAAACGTTGGCTCTTGCATGGTTACAATTCGACTGGGCTTTGTAATCATTTATTTAAACCAGTGTAGCGAGCGAAACATGACTACACATGATGTTTTATATTTTAAGAATACTTGCTCTCTTATTATTATATTCCAGTTTAGAAAAACTGGGGTTAATTGGCCTTTCTAACGGCCGATTTTCATGGCAGTTTTGGGGTACTGCCTTTCCCACGTTTGAGAGTCTCCACAACACGAAATACAACTTTTTAGTATTGTACTTGTTTGTATAATGGTAAATTTACAGTTACAACTTTGAAAAGTCGCTTTTCAAGTTTTTTAAATTGTCTAGAATCTTTCACGAGGGCAGACAGTACCCCCTAATTGGTCTAGCCACTAATACTGAAATATTTTCTCCTTTGTTCTGTAAACATTGTAAA